AAGGGAGTTCACACAAATCCATCTAAGGATTGACCAAGTCAAACACACATAAAAACCAAAAAGCAAGTCGATTTCCAAATTTCATATAACAATCATGTTCGAAAATAGAAATCATTTAATCGCATGAAAATAGAAGGTCAAGCTCCCCTACGAATTAAGCTCTGAAAATTTACACAAAATTTCATCTCCCAGAAACATGAAATATCACAAAGTTTCAGCTTTAAACTCAAGATACCCTATTTTATAAAATTCGAACAACATATCAGCAAAATGGGCACGTTAATTCATACTCAGACTTAATGAATGAATCTGATCTTGAAACTTTTACACAAGAACATACAGTATGCCAAAGTCCATTTGTAAAAATCTCAGCCTTAAATGATAACTGCTGCTATTTTTAAAAATCCAAACGAGCAATAGCAGTTTATCGAATTTAAACCCAAACTGAATCAAAACGGACTCCAAATATTCCCATATTTTACAAACATGACCAAACACATAAAATAGGCTTCTCAGTAAAATTTCAGAATTTTCCAAGAAGTAACCAATTTATAAAAATTCAAACAACGTTTCTGCAGATTCGATAAATAAAATATTAACCACATCAAATCAACTCCAAAAATTCTAAAAATTTAACACAACACATACAGGTCACAGAGGCATGACATATTCGAATTTCAGCTCATTCCAGTCAGGCAAGAATTTTTTATGCATTGAACAATATTCTGGACAGATTACAATTTAATTATTAAAAATAGCTATAGGCCTCCAAAAATTACAAAAATTTTACACAAGGCAGACAATGAACAGATAACACATCCCTCAATATTTCACATCGTTTCGAGCAGCGAGCTATTTTTACAAATTCGAACACCGAAACAGCAATTTACAAGCTCGACAACTTCGCATTTAATTCACAACATAAAATTTCTCGTCCGAGGCCTTTTCATAAGACCAAGGAGTCGACATTGTTCCAATATCCACCGACTTACACGACTTTCGAGGTCTCGTTCGATTTTTGAGAAATCGAAGAGATCCCGAACATACAAACACATACAATCGCAACAATTCGTATACTTGCACATATTCACTTAATAAATCACATCATACATAACACGAGCACTTCACGAACATGAACAATTCGACGAAACACGTAAACACAACTGATCATAACACTGTTCACGAGATACCGAACGAATAGACGTAACATATATGCACGATATATATATATATATGACATCAACAAGTTATATACACATACGCATAAAATCACAAGACATGTAAAATAATGCGTCCCATCGCCATGAACCTCAAATCCTACATAATACGCACTAAATATAAAGAGGGTTCAAGCCTTATACCTCCTTCGAGATTTAACGAGAAACGGATGAAGAAGTTCAGAGAAAACGGGCTCGGCTACTCGCTGAATATCTCCCGGCTCGCTCTCGGCCATCAATTTTTCACGCACGGCCGCTGCTGTTGCTGTTCGGGCCTGGACGAAGGCCGACGGGGTGCCGTTGAATTTGCTCGCACGGGCCGAACCGGCCCCTGCTCGACGGGCAGGTTGCAGGTTCACGGCAGGGAGGCGGGTCATTTGCGCGACGAGGATGACGTTGATTGGAGGGAGACGAGCGGCGACACTCAAAACTGAGGGAGAGGAGAGGTCGTCGGGCCTCCTCACGGACAACGTTGATGTCTCGGCTTCAGCGACGGAGGAGAAGGGTCGCCGGTGATGGAGGGAAATACTCGCCGGAGTGAAGGTTTTCTCACGGAGGTGCTGCGATGGGGCGCCGTTCGCGATGGCAGGGATCGCCGGTGGGTGGTTTGCGAGGTCTTCACAACAGAGGGGATGCACGGCGATGATGATGCCGCCACTGATGCGCCGACGGGATCGAGAAGTGTTGCGGCGTGATTGATGAGGGATGATGGCCGGATTAAGCGAGAGAGAGGGATGGAGATCCGATTTTAGAGCACACGAGAGAGATTGGGCGAGAGAGAAAAAGAGAAGCTGCGGGGTGTGATGATAGAAAGAGAGATTAGGGTACAGATTAATTGACTTGGTTTTACAAAATTTATCTTGATGTCCAAGACATCATACACACACACGCATGAAAGAAAGAGGAGGAGAAAAAATCTGTCGGGCCTGGCCCAACTCGGGTCGCGAGCTAATGTGGGCCGGATTTTGGCTCGCGGGCCGGTCGATCGAGCTGGTTCGCGACAATGAAAACGGCTCACGGGCTCGATTTTTGGTTCAAACGAAAATTCTCGGGCTCGATAAAATCGCACGAAAATAAGTCCAGCTCTCGGCTCGGGTTTTCCTATTACTAATTTCGACAGTTCCAATCGATCGCACGATAAATAAACAACTCCGGACAATATAAATTAAATACGTACATTATTTTAAAATACTAATATTATTAATCAAAATATACAATTAGCAATTAATTGACAGATAGACATATTATATTTAGACATTCAATTAGGCAAGCAATAATATTAATAATAATAATAATAATAATAATAATAATAATAATAATAATAATAATACTAAATAATCATAAATAATTCTCAAATAAATCACAATTAAATGGGCATTACACCTTATTCATCTTCTTTTTGTTATCCAACAACAACTACACACTTCTTCATCTTTTTTTTTTTCGGAGTTCATAAACACCATTTCTTTTCTCCGTGCCTTTCTACCTTCCTTTCATCTTCATCTTTTTTTGTTTCCCTAAATTTCATAAACAACATCACGCTTCTTCATCTTTTTTAATTTCGCAACAACAGCACCGAAGCTTCAGATCATGTGGAAATCAAGCTTTTCCTTTCAATTAAGCTTCGGATCTGGTGGATAAAGCTATATTTTGGATTGGTCGATTTTCTCGGCCCATCAATATTGCAGGCGGCGGCGAACGGATGGCGGGAGAATTCGCCGGCAGTCGTGAGCGATCTCCTGGTGTCGTCTCTCTCCCGCTTGTGCGCATTCTGGTGGTCGCGTAAGGCTTGCGAGGGCAGAACTTGTCCGGATGCAGATGCGGTTGCAGTAGAGGTAAGAGAAAAATCAAAAGTAGACGGAGGGTGATGAGTTGCTGGACGAGTTTCTGACGATGACCGTTTAGCTTGAAGAAATCGTATTGCTGGGATCCGTCATTTTGGTTTTCCCGAGCTCTATTTTCTCAATCTGTGTTGGACTAATTTTGAAAATTTAATTTTAGAGGAAGGATGAAAATGTAATTTCAGCTTGAAGGATAAATTTTCAGTTTTAAACCAAACAAGTTAATATTCTACTCAAATAAATAGATAGCCTTTGAAACAATAAAAAAGATTATATCATGCTCAATTCATTAATTCAACCAAACTAATCCTAAAAATACAGATGCAACTATTAGTCTGACATTGTCTACGTTTAATTAGCAGTCCTAACAGAATGCCATAATGAATGGATATTTCGAAGTGTCTTGTTTTCTCCCTTTTATGCTTTATTTTTCCACTAGTTGAATTAAGAAGCATATATAAAAAAAAAATTAAGTTTTTGTTTTATGTTTTTAAACTAAAATAATTTGTGTTTTAATTAAATTGTTAAATTATATTTTAATCATAATAGTTAAACACACGTTTATAATTTTAGAATTTGGATGTCAAACTATATTTTTTTAACTTTGTATGTAATTATAAAATTTGGATAAATAATTATTTATTTTTATTATATTGATAGCATACCAATTAAATCTTAAGCAAGTGTCATTTTTATAGGAAATAATGTCATATTAATTCATCTTCAAAATGGGTGATATGTGAATATTTGAGAGAAAGATTGAGAAATAAATTAATATGATTGATTTAAGTGAAGATATATAATATAAAAGAAAAAAAAAAGTATAAAAAAATTATTATGGTAAAATGAAATGAAATAAATAATCATTGTTTTAATAAAGAAAGATAATTAATATATAATGGAAATAACCTTGCCTAATTGATATTTAACATGGCACATGCACCTAATTATGATGTATCAATCTAAAACATAGAATTATGATAAATATGATTCTGAAGCATGCAAGTCTGCCACTTAGGCTCAAGATTCGGAACTTTTATATAGGAGGACTGTGGAAAGTGAAGAGTTGTATGAATTGCGAATAGAAAATCAACATGGAGAACTGATTTACGACCTAGATGAATTCAGTCACTAATCGGGTGTCAGTTAAGGCCCCAGCCCCCAAAGGACAATAATTGATATTTTAGGCCCGTTCAAATTTAAAAACATACCAAATCACCTTCACATTTTGTGTTGCACAATTCAAAATTTCTGCCAATAACATGTTCTGCAAGCTTCTATTGGTACACTGCTGCTACGAATCCATATGAAATTTAATTTTGCTTCTCAAAATTGTTCACTGTTTCAATACAAATTAAGCGGACAGTTCAATGGGCACGAGTAAGAGCTTCACAAAGTTATATTCAGCTAAGCACTGGAAACCTGTTAACTACATAAACCTACCTATTCATATTTGATGAAGAGAAAGCAGACAGTAAATATGCCATTAAAATAGCAAGATAAAATGGCTTAAGTGCCTGGTCCACTTTAATCTACTAACATGAAGTGGGTACCACCCTCTCTACTGTCCTTCTGTATAGTATAATATCAACTCTTACACTCAAGTGCATTTGCTGGATTCGTTCAAATGTTCGATTTACGAATGATTGCTTGAGGTTGTATGACTTCATGTCGCTTACATAACTAGCATCGGTGGGATTCTGACAGGGCTGAAAAGAAACACTAGAGTTATGTGTAGTAACTTTCCAGTTAGTACTGTATACTGAGAGTAGCAGAGTTTTTAATTTGATGGAAATCCACGTTAATTTGCTTACTTGGAAGCTCACAGAATTTTTCTTTTCCTGAGGTAGGAGTACATGAGAAAAAATCCAACCACAGCACCCACAAAAATCCCTGCTGTCGTTAGCCAGAAGGCGAACTGCAGACCATATTTGAAAAGATAATTAGAAAAACAGTTATGTAAATCAGGAGACTGATACAGAAAAATAGTTACGGAAGAGTGTCTCACAATATGTTCCTCGAGATACGACCTCAAGTTCATGCCGAATATACCTGCCAAGTTCTCAATGTAATTCATGGGAACTTAAACTTTCATATGCTATAGTAAATTAAGGTGCAGCAATGTTATCAACAGCGAATGGTGAAAATCTGCCATAGAGACCAAAATGGTGGTCAGAAATCCACTATCTCATACCACCATAGCGCCAACAGGACAGAAATTTGATAACATTGACGCAGCATGTATAATAATAATATCATAAATTCATTGTTTTGGAAAATCCAGGTATAATAATATCCATCATAAATTCATGATTTTTGAAAGGGAAATGTAATCAGAATACATCATTCATTATCATCACCAGTTAGCTACCTGCAATTAAGGCACCAACTGCGACACAAAATGTTGCAACCTGAAGAAGAAGTTCCACTCTACTTACTTCCAGTCTCCGAGAGCTGATTAGAATAAATGATAACAGTATTATTAACGATAGTAGATGCTGCTAGTAATGGCTAATAATTCATTATAATATGTGAATCCAAGCAGTATATATTAAATATCTTATCGCAGTGGAGATGACTTATGACTACAATCTGCATCAGTGTGACGTTTCCATATCCAATGGGTAAAATGATGACAATTTCGCAATAAAAATTCATTCTAAAGATTTCTCGTATAGAATCACCACGGTAGGTATGTGTTGTATTGGTTTTTTAACCCAACAAATTCATGTTGCTACCTCAGCATGATTTTTTTTGTCTTTGGTACCACAATTCACACAGCTTAAACATTGTTCGTGGAATGTTGGAGAAAACTGAAGATTCTAACCCATAACATGATGATAGAATAATAATTAAGTAGCTTGATGGAATAATTTATTGGTCATTATTTTCTGGCATAGCAATCACAATAAATAGAAGATAAGTGATAACAAATAATGGGAACCTGAGGTTTACAGCAATTGAATCTTCCATCTCCTTTGCTGAATCGAGAAGCCTCTCTGCTTGACCGTGACAGGATTCGCATCTGCAGTAGCTTGACTTGAATTAGACAACAACAAAACCAGACCAATTGTGACAGAATTGCCTGATATTTTCTTGCATGCTATAGAATGAGAAATAGGATCATCAATAAATTAATGTTATTGTTACTAATAAAATGAAGAACAGTACAACGGTAACAACAACAAAAATGGAATGATAGTATCACCATTATGGCCTCAATACAAGACAATTGGACAATTGCGTTTAAAATCTGGAAAACTTAATGATTGAACTTTTGGATTATACACGTACATAGGAATGTAAGTAATATAAATAGAGGTATTTGGTCAAATTGAGGGGAAAACTCTTTTCAGCATATTGTTTATCTGATCAGTATTCCGGGGAAATATGATCTAAAGATATCTAAATCGAATTTAATTCTTTTCTCCAACATGTAAGAATGATATCATTGTTCTGGTATTCTGAATTTTTTTATTTTTCCTCTGTATGAGTCCTGAAAATCGAGTCAGGAGCAGGTTTGTCAAACTGAAATGAACTGAAAGTTGTTCTGCCATTACCTTTGGAGATAATTTTCCAGAAGCATTTCAATTTCTTCCTCCTCTTCTGAGATATGTAAAAAGCCATTTTTTAAAAAAAAAGGTAGATCTTTAATATCAGTAAGTTATGTGCTTGATTTCTTGAAGTGATTTGCTAGAGTACGATTCAGCCAATGTACAACATACCCTCTGCTATCTCCTTCTCCGAAGGAACAGAGCATTGAACCTCGTCATTTTTCATAAGAGTGCAGTTTCTTCCCATTATACAAATTTGTCGTATTTCATGAGTGTCCTCAAGGATATCAAGCAGCATTTGTTTAAGAGCCCCAGCTCTAGAGCCCAATTCAACCTTTGGTCATAAAAGAGGAAACACGAGTAGTTGTTATGCAGTGGTTTATTGTTGCATTTTTGTATGGTGGATACTGAGATGTATAGAATACCTAAATTAGATGGATCGACTTACCAACGTCTGTTTGCTAGTCCGGAGTTCCTCCAATATGTCAGCAGTCAATCGATTGGGAAGAACCTCAAGTAAAGCTTGCACCTGCAGCAACAGTGGCTAAATGAGTATTAAATATAGCTGAGTCAATTGTTCACTTCAAATATTTATACTTTACAAATCCAATACATACAGATTTAGTTTACAAATCCAATACACCTTATTTGTTTTTATTGATTTAGTTTGATTTGTTTTTTCTCAAAGGTGGTGGGAGGAAATCAAATTTAATGAACTAATGTTTCTGGAGCTTCCGTACTGTTTAAGGCCTGAAAAAATGAACAGAAATAGAATAATATGTGAATGTACTGAAGAAAAAGGTGTTTGTCTGTTTGAAATGTCATGCATGAAAGTTCAGGACTTAAGGTGCCTTTATCTAGGGAATGAGTATGAACAACATTTGTTCGATTAAATTCAAATATAAAATATTTTATTTTATAAGTTGCATTTTTTATCAAGTTTTAAGTTGAAAAATTAAGTTACGAGGGCAGCTCAACACCTCTAAACCCATTCCATTAACATTAGTTAGTAAATGATCCATACGTGAACCCACTCAAGAAAGTTGGATATGAGAAAGGAGCATAAGCCGTCAAAAAGCAAACAAAATAACAATCACAATGTTCTCTTACTCACGCGTGGTTCTAAGTCCATTAATCTCCGTTCCAGACGTTGAATTCGAGAATGCAGTGCAGCCTCAACCACCTGAAAGATTTCACAAATATTTATTAGGCTCTTTCAAGATCAAACCCCTTTAGCTCTAAAAATTGAGTGGGTAACACAGATTACAGTAACCAAGAAACGTGTAGAATAAATATTTTGTGCTAGTGCTAACAGTTTTAGCTAACAATACTGATACAATTTTGGTACCTACAAACAGCAATGTTATCGGGTATCTACAAACACATGTTCCATTATAGACCAATAAAATATTGAAAGTGATATTATTGGCACAAGGTCAACTGTTCTCGCTTCTAAAATTGGCCTATGGTGAAGAAACCTTTGTATAGGATCAGTGAGAAAATATTAGAATAACTATGTATGAAAATGCTAGACAAGAACAAATAAATAAAAAAATGAAGGGCTTTGATGTCAGGATTAAGTCCAAATTAATGAATGCAATGATTTTTGGGATCGAAGTTTTAGTAGATAACCAACCTCAAGCACAAATGGCATTGAGGGCCCTCCATTAATGTTCTTCGGATTTAAGCGCGGTAGCAATGTATCAATGAAAGCTTTTCCACCTTTACTGCCAATAACCAAAACTTAAAAATTACTCCTCGAACTACATCAGAAACATACACAGAATTGAACAAAAGCCAAATGACTGATGAGACTAATACCGATTATAATTGAATATGTACACACGTTCTTGCATTGCAATCGCCCGCAAGGATCCCAGATTCAGCAATATAGCATAATCACGCACCTTAATAATGGTAAGGCAAAAATGGTACAGTCAAAACAGGTTAAATAACAAAGGTTGGATGGTAAACTTTGGATATGTTATTGCATTATTCAACTTGAAATCATGTTATATATTCTCTAGTTATAACTATAATGTGACAGAAAGAAAGTTATAATGAGCTACGATGAGTCTGCTTTTCATAGTCGTTATAGTTACTAATAAAGCATCATTTAGATCAACATGTGAATAACCGGAGCTATATACAGCAATGGCTGCCTGATGTAGCCCTCTGACTAGAAAAACTCAGAACACAAAATTCGATTAATCTGTTTAATGTTTGAATACTGACTTTATAAATTAGAAGTTATATGAATGATTTGTTTTTGTGTAGCATATATAGACAATCATGCATAACATCTTAACATATAAATATTTAAAATCTAAATATGACTCAAAATAAATATTCAAGACTGAATGAAATGAACTCTGATTGTAAAGTATGTATAAAAATATGGGCAGTAGTGAAAAACAGTTCACTGTCTCTACCAACAATGAAGGCATTGAGTTGGTTAGCCACAATGACGGATCAACACTCCTTATATCTCGAGGTCGGAGGCCTGTAAAATTAGGTAAGATAAAACTAATAATATTATACAACAGATATTTAAAAGAAATCAGAGTAGATAGAAGTTGGTAAACATCTAATTGCTAAAAATGAGAGTTGTAACAGATATTCTAGCCAGAATATTTTACTAGAATTTCGCAGAAGTTGAGGAAGTTATTCAAGTTCATAAGAAATCCAGAACAAAGTGGTTTAAGTCAGAAATTGTATGTTAATTCCATGTTGAACTTTTCAGATGCTGGTAAATGCAAGAAAACAAGGTCTCCATCTAAGAAACTTCTACTCACCACTCGATTTTAACAAATGTCTTCGATTGATTTTCCTTGTAGATACCATTCCATCTGAACTTACTTCCACAACCTGTTGATGCAAAACAGACAGACACGAGACACACATTCACTGAACTATGGTCAATATAATTTTTTTATCTTCAATCCTTAAGTAGCGCAAACTAGTGTCTTTAGTTTCAAATTTATTCTGCGTTTCTTATAGAGATAATTTTCATGGATGGAACATTCCATTGTTTCCACGGAGATTCCTTATTTTCAGAAAAACAAAATAAATTGTATGAGAAGAGGAGTCCATCTCACAAAGTCATGCAAATAAAAAGCTTTCCAGTCAATACTGAGACAAACTAACTCGATAAACATGTCCTCGACCAAGACTCGGGTTATTTCTTCCAATTTTGTCTTTTTCTCCATTTCTCATCATCTCCATATCAATTCCGAGATAGGAGCTCAGAAGGCTCGTCTAGCGATTCATAATTTCCAGATTTCTATTAAGTATTCTGTTAACAATCGGCACCGTAGTTATAACAACATCAGTATGCAACAACGGCAAATTACACCTTTGTTTTCCCTTAAGAATTCCTGTCATAGTAACAAGCAACTGGACAACTAAAGAAAATAAAATTATCTGAGGCTGAGACAGAGAAAATCTAACCTCATAGATGGGCTCGCGAATGCCCAGAGAGAGAGAATCCCCGGAGAACGGAATCCTCTGAGGAACGGCCGATCCATTGGTGAAATCCTGACCGTTCACCTCATCATCCGAATCGCCATCTCTAACCTCATCTTCACCATTTTTATCCAAGATGAGTTCTCCTCCGCCGTCCACCACATCTTCAGGTACAGCAAAACACTTGATCCCTACTTCCGCGGCTGAGACGGGCCGCGGGGTATCCCAGCTCCGTCCTGGCCCCGCCAGCTGCAATTTGCGCGACAATTCACATCTCGATCTCGATAACGATATCCCGGCGAGGATCAGGCGAAATTGGGGCGAATTTTTCGGTAACTGAAAAAGAATCGGAGAGTACTGCGAAGAGATCGGAGTTGAGGACGCCATTGTAAGAAATGCATGTAAACACGAGATCCTCGCGCTACATTCGCGTGTATATGTATCTATATCTGCTTGAGAAATAATTCAATTTAGTTCTGTTCATAAACATTTATCCGTTGGTGTAGACATATACTGTACGTGTTACGTATAGGTGCAAATGCAATGGTGAATGGTGTGTTGTAGTCTTGTAGATAGAGAAACAGAAAAAGATGAAGCCGGTGGCTGAGAATAGTTTAAAAATTATTGTGGCAAAGCTGCGTCATCTCCTTTTTTTTTTTTTTTTAATATATTTACATATAATTAGTTATTGTAGATAATCAATGGCTAAATATTTTCGTGGAATAATTCTGTGACGGGATTGTAGATTTTCCCATCAAAAAAATAATTAGAATGAAAATGACCAATGTGGAGGCAGTCTTGGATTCCTTCTCTGGTCACAAAATGTCGGAGCCCTTCACAGCTACTTTTGTCTTGATCCCAAAAGACCCAATCCGAGCTTCTGGTCAGATTATAGGCCCATCAGCCTCTAATGTGACCAATAAGCTCATTTCCAAAATTTTGAATGGTCGTCTTGCCCCTCTTTTTCCTTCTATCATTTCCCCAAACCAGAGTGTCTTCGTCAAAGAACGGGTCATAAGTAATTACATACTTTTGGCCCAGAAGATGATCTACGACATCTCATTGTAACGACCCGTTATTTTATAAAGAAAAAGTCCCGAGCATTCCAAAAACAGAGTTAATTTTTCGAAATACATTTATCGCTTTGAAAACAATTTAACAAGCGCTACTCAATTCATCCATTCATATCACTCGGCTTAGCATCATCATAATCCGTTGGAAACTCATTGTCCAATATCAAAAAATATAAGTCACATACGAGATATAATCCACAAATATATCATCTCGCAATAATCATCAAATCGACAGTAGTTTTCAAAACATGTTCAAACCAAATTAACATCCAAACCATCAGTTCTGGTAACGCAAAACGCTCCGACTGGTTAATCAGCGCTTTGACTTTGAATTTGTATGTTTTTATTTTGCCAATTTTTGATTTTCCTGTTAATCCTTCTTTTTCAAAATCCCCATTTTTCATCTGCAATAGGCTTCTCCTTTCTTTTCTTCAAAAAACCCTAACCCCTATATTTTTTCTTCTATTTTTCTTTCCCTTGTTTTTCAGATTCCACCACTTCGAGCGAAAATGACCATCACTCTGGCAAGGACATGACTACCCCGTCATCGTCCCCGATTTGCCGGCTTATTCCTCATTCTCCGTCTAACTCTGTTGAGGAAATTTACGATGTTGTTCCCCTCAACGCGATTCGTCCTTCCGATTATTCCACACCTTCTCCTTCGCCCCAACCTCATCATCTGATCGATGAGCCAGACGAGGATCTTGTTGATCACACCCCCTTAGACGTCGATCTCGACCAGCTTTTGACACTGCTGACGCCGCAGATGCGGCTTTAGATGCTGCTGAGGCAGCTCGTCAGGCCGATGAGGATAATATTCCTCTTCCCCGTCATTCTGTTTTTTCTAAACACCCATCTTCGGGTAAATCCAAGGTACCCTCTGCTTCTAAGTCCAAATCTAAAACCACATCTTTGACCCCTCTTCCTGATTTTTCCAAGACCAAATCCAATCCCGCTGTTACCTCTTCTAAATCTTCCCCAAAGAAAAAATCGACCAAAGCTTCATCCTCCAAAAAGGCACCTTCGTCTTACCTTATAGGGGGATGGCTAGATGTCGATGATGTCGACCACCCCTCTGGTTGGGCTTTCATATCCCCTTAACCCGAGAAGAAGTATGACAATCCACCCCAAGGCTATTGCACCTTCTTCGAGATCCAATTCAAACTTGGCATCCGTTCCCTCTTTGCCAAGAGGTGATCGATATCTGCGAGTGGTTCGGTCTTCCCCTGAACCAACTTCGCCCAAATGCTTTCCGTTTCATAACAACCTTTGTTATCCTTTGTCATATCAGTCTAGGTCGATTTGACCTGGCCTTCTTCCATTATTGTTATATGCCCTCGAAACAAGCCCAAGAGCTTTATCTTAAGAGTCGCAATGATGCCCACTTCATTTCTGACACTCCATCTAACTGTCTCAAGTGGAAGGATAAGTTTGTTTTTGTCAAGTCTGACACCGCTTTTCGTTGGGCGTCTACCCCTTGGCTCAAAGAGCTTAAATTTGAGCTCGAGATCGCTTCCAACACTCTCCTCGAAAATGATAACCTTTTACATTTCTGCGGCATTCTCACCGACAAACCTCTATCTCCACATACTCAAGAAACCTTCGATTCTATTCGAATTAAGGACGATCCGCATAATTCTTGTGTAATGTGCTCGAATACTGCTGATTTCACTTCGGACTCAAACAATTTATTTTATGACTCTTTTGCAGGGATGCCTACAGTTCTGCTGCCCAAAAGGAGAGTCCCTCTCAAGAAGAAGCCTACACGGGACTCAGGCTCTTGGCCTTCTGGCTCGACCACCACACCGCTCAATCATTCGACCTTCTCCATGGAGGTCGAAACTCTGAATGTGTCGGGCCAGTTGCCCATCATTGGGGAGAAATCTAACCCTTCCTCGACCAATCCTCCCGTCACTTAGGAAACATTACAACCAACCACTGAAGACAATCAACATCCTCTCTCTCCTCCAATCCATTTGACTGATCCAGCCAAGGAGGTCGAAGAGCAACCACTGGCCGATCAGGACAGCAATCGAAGAACAACCTTTTGTTTCTCTCCAGAATGCTTCGACCATTTCTCTGGTCGAAAATCCTGCTTCTGTGAACGCCGTCTTGGTCGCAGAAGCACAACTGAAGCGCCCTCTTCTCGAAGAGAATGAGGGACATAATAAGCGTCCTCGGCTTGAGGAAACCATTGGTGTCACAAGCCTCCCCATCCTCTCATTGATCAAGCTCAACGGCACAGAAGTATCATCCTTTCTTAAGGATGTTCTTCCTTCTCAAGATCTCCGCGACGACGACATCACCCTCCATGATCGAGGTGATCGTATCGCCAAGTGGCTAGCACAGGTAACTTTCCGAACTTTTAGTATTATCTTCCTCGATTTATTTCTTTGGTAGCTGATATATTTTTGCTTTCCTTTGTTTGTGAATTCAGGGAATGGTCGAACTAGCTCCCCTGATCGACCAGGCATTGTCTAGTGCCATCCGGTCCATCCCCTCGATCGAGCAGGGGTCCTTCCTCCTTCGAAACAAGCTGGACGATTTCACCTATCGGAATCACGAGCTCCGTGAGAGGCTAAAGGATGATGCGTTGCAGAGAAAAGCCCTTGAGGCCGAGAAGGACACCCTCGAGGGTGCCATGAAGGCCTTCGAGGAGGCGCTCGAGGCTGAGCGAGCGGAGAAGAAGGCTCTCGAGGCTGCGTTCGAGGCGGAAAAGACGGCTCGGGAGCGCGAGAAGACTGCTTTCGAGCAGCAGAAAAAGCGTTGGGGCGACCAAGCTGCTCTCCGAGCTCACCAGATGGTGTGGCATACCACCACCGGGCAGAGTTTCCTCCAGGCGTACCGCGATCAAGTGGTGACTGCCTTTAAGCAGTCACCACAATATCTGAAGGAGGTGCAAGAGTATGGCGCTCACTAATTTCAATCCATCCTGCATAAAGCAGGTGAGCAGATAGCCGAGGACGACTTCGAGGAGTTCAATGTAGAGGCTATCTGGGACGCTCTGCCCAAGGCTCCGGCATGCTTCCAGAGAGATCTTGATTTTCCGCTCAATCATGAGTGGTGGTCGGGCCTCCTCGAGCGTACCGTGAATCATGACGATACTCTGTAGAAGAATTTCACCCTGCCCGACAGGGTAACTCCTCTGACTTCCATGAGGCGGGCCATGTCTAAATCTATCCGACAACGACCATTATCGGACACGGTCGAATCGACCTCTGGCTCGAGTCAACAAGTCGAGCAACGGCCCGAGCCTACTCTCGAGCAAACTTCTCCCAATCCTAATGCTAACGCCGAGCAGACCTCTTTAAATCCTGAAGCGCCTGTTCTTTGAGGACTCTGTACTTTTACTTTTGCCGAAACATTTGTACTTCGTTTTTTATGGAATGAATGACTGTTAAATGTTGTTTTTGTCGATGTTTGTTGGATGTTCTTGTTATTTTTCAGCTCATTTGAATCTTGTTATATTACCCAGTACATTGTCTCCATTGTTTATGGACTTGTTATTTCGCACCACATCGATCCTACGCCTCTCAACGATCTAGCTCACTTCTTTAGTCGTGGTTAACTTTACTCCGTTGAACACATGCACACCTTTACATAGGTGGTCGATACATGTGACCATCCAGCCTTTCGGCCTTAATCATGATGGATTTTACTCCCTTGAACACATGCCCACCTTCGAAGAGGTGGTCGATACATGCGACCATCTAGCCTTTCGGCCTTAATCATGATGGATTTTGCTCCACGCAACCTGCCACTGAGGTTACTCCAAACATTCCAAGTATAATAATCGATATGCGAACAAATTATGGTGCTTGCAAATGATGTGTTATTAATCAAAAGTAGGAAAGTCAATTACATCATGATAGGAAATTTTTTGGAAAAGAAAAAAATCAAGCATAATATCTCTTCAAGTTAGCCACATTGCATAACCTGAGTAGTGGCCTTCCTTCAGTATCTTTGAGCGAGTATGCTTTTCCAGCATGGACTTTTTCGACCAGTTATGGTCCTTCCCAGTTTGGTTCCAGCTTCCCGACATGTTTCAGCACGTCGACCCTTTCCCATACGAGGTCGCCCACTTGGAATCTTCTGACTTTCACTTTCCTATCGTGTGCTGCTTGCATCCTCTATTTTTATGCCTCGACCCTGATCGAAGCTCGTTCCCGAAGTTCTTAAATTTTGTCAAGGGCTGCCATCATCAGGTTTTCATTTTGTTCTTGATTATATGTGCTCGATCTCTAGGACTGCACCTCGACCTCGACTGACAGTAGTACCTCCGTGCCATAAACCAGACTGAATGGTGTTTCCCCTGTTGTCGACCTGGGCGTTGTTCGGTATGCCCAGAGTACTGAAGTAAGTTCATCGACCTATGCTCCCGATGCCTTCTCCAGCCTTGTTTTGAGGCCATTCAATATGATCATGTTGGTCACCTCGACTTGCCCATTGGCTTGCGGATGAGCTACCGATGCAAAGTTTTGCTCGAACTTCATGTCCTCACACCATACTTGAATCCGTTTGCCATTGAATTGTGTTCCATTGTCAGACACCAAACCTGCAACAAATATTGTTATATAAAAATTTTATGACTTTTTCCTCCGTGATCTTAGCCAATGGTTCGGCCTCTACCCATTTTGTAAAAAAGTCCACCGCCACGATCAAGAATTTCCTTTGCCCAGTTTCTTGCGGAATTGGCCCCACCAGATCGACACCCCATTGTGCAAATGGGATAAGAGCGCTCATCGTGGTCATTGCCTCGGCTGGTTGGTGAATAAGTGGACCATGTTTTTGGCATTGCAAGCATTTTCTCACCATCACCTTCGCATCCTCCTTCATGTTCGGCCAGAAATAACCTGCCCTCAAAATCTTAGCCACCAAGGATCCCGTCTTGCTATGATCACTATAGGTGCCTCATGAGTCTCCCTTAACATATATCGGTCTTCCTCCCGCGTAACACATCTCAAGTGAGGTCCCGCATACGACCTCTTGTATAACATCCCTCCATGCTAGAAAAATCTTCTCATCACTTTCACCCATCCTTCTCTCAACTTCTTTATTATCGAGGCTCTCCAATCATCGACCTCCTCTATCTCTATCACCTCCCCTTCGACCACACTTTTCTCCATATGCAGCAAAGTTACATTTCTGCTCTTACAATCGACCAAATTTTGTGCTATTTTAGATAACAGATCTGCCCGACCATTCTCTCCCGAGGCATCTGCACTAGCTCGAATGAGCTAAACTCCTCTTGCAACTTCTTCATCTCCTCCACATACCTCTGCATCCTCTCCTCCTTTATCTCAGAATCCTCCTGGAACCGGTCGACCACCAATTGAGAATTAGAATGTACTTGAATATTTCGGGCTCCTCCCGCCATGGCCAATTGCATCCCTTTAATGACCGCTTCATATTCCCACTCATTGTTTGATACTTGATACCCGACTTTGACTGCATACTCCAGGCTATCTCTTTTCGAAGAAATCAATACGATGCCCAAACCACCTTCGGCCTTTGACACCGAGCCATCCACGAACATTTGTCAAACTCCTTCCAACTCCTCCTACGCTTTAGTACCCTCCTGGATGAAATCGGTCAACGCCTGCGCTTTGATCGCCCTTCTGGACTCATATGCTATCGTGTATTCGCTCAACTTGACAACCCATTTCACCAGTTGACCCGATACAGAGGGTAGACCTAACATTTCGCCCAGCGGGATATTCATCCGCACCTTCACCTTATGGCTCAAAAAATAAGGCCGCAGCTTCCTCACCTTAACGACCACCGCCAAGGCACACTTCTCGATCTCCGAATACCTCCTCTCTGAGCCTTGCATCATCCTACTCACATAATAGATCGGAAACTGGACCACTCCCTCTTCTCACAACAGTACCGAACTCACCGCTGTTTTCCCAATAGATATGTATAACACCAAGTCCTCTCCATGTACTGGCTTGGCAAACAAGTGCAAGTTGGCCAACACTTTCTGCAGCTCCTCAAATGTGTTCTGTGCCTCATCCGTCCATTGGAATTTCCAGCTCTTCCTCAATGTTCGGAACAGTGGGCCACTCTTCTCCGCCACCTTCGAAATAAAACGACTCAACCCTGCAATTCGACCAGTTCAGGATCTGCACATCCTTCTGTTGGGTTCTATTAGGAACGTCGGCAATGTGCACATTCAAATCTATTGAATAATAAATCCTAACACAACGGAATCTAAAGTTAAATTAGGACTTACGGTTTAAAATTTTTTGCCGACTCAGAGACGTTTCTGATTTCCTTTGATGGCGATCATCTGTCTACCACAACCCAATCAGTTGAAGGGTTTGGCCTTTGTCGACTCTAGTCGAGTGTTGAATCACGAACGGATCACCTCGGACCTTCAGTATGTAAACCGGACTCCTCGAACAGCTCGGAATTCATCTTGAGCACGAACCAGGCTAACTGGGTCAAGCCGAACTGGGTCGGGTCGAACTGAACCGGGTCTGTGCTGGTTCGGGGCGGGTCTGGTCAGTCTGGGCCAGATTGGGATCGTTGGGCCGGGACAGCTCGGCTCTAGCACTGGGCCGCGGGCGCTGGGCGTAAGGTGCACGCGCGCGGGTGTCCTATGCCCGAGAGGACTAGGCGCGCGGGTAGCTATGCACAGCACGTTTCCCAGACAGACAGGGACTAGGCATGCGCAGGCGTGTGCGGAGAACTCGGGGCACAGTGCAGCAGTACGCGATGAACGCGGGACGCGACGTAGGCGGGTGCGAAGAACACGGGGTTGCGCGCAGTGTGCTGGGTGTCTGTTTGTGCGGTCATGCTCGGCTAGGCGTGGGCAGCGACTTCCGACGGCTGCCGGCGACGGTAGACGGAGGCAGTTGGCGGCGGTCGGTGGCAATGGTTGGCCGAATATTTGGATCTTTAAGGTTTGAGAAATATCACCTTAAAATCTTCTAATGGATTACCTAAACACCTATTTCAATTAATCTTGGTGGAGCGATTAATTGAATCTCCCAAACACTTAATTAAGACAATCTTTCTCTCTTAGAAATAAGGAAAAATCGACATGCATCAAGTCTTGTACAAGAGGTTGGGACATGGCGTATTTATAGGCTCCATTAGGGACCTTAAGTAGGTGCCAAATATGGGCTTATCCCATTAGGCTAAGGAATCCTAATTCTACTCCACAAGCTAATCCCAACTAGGTCATGATTCCTTCCTCCTAACATCACCTTCTAGAAGTCTCACAAGTCTCCTAACCCTAGGTAATATTCTAGAAGGAATATTCCCTAACTCTTGGAATATTAAATATAGAATAAAAATAATTCCTAAAATCCTAATAAAATTAAATAATAATATATCCCACTAGAATATTATTATTGCTCTCCCCATTTGGCTCCAATTTAATCAGTTAAATCAAACCTCCACTTGATTAAATAAATATTAATCTTATTGATCGATTTACCTCCCTATGTTTAAGATATAACGTCCGTTGATTAATTAAATTACTGACAAAATAATTAATCAACTTGTTATTCATTTCTGAAACTAGTACCACTCAGATCGTTAACCATTATGTCAGAACACATCCGCCTGTAGGGCTTGGCATAATATTCCTTCCCGAGTTCATTTCGGGGACGTCATCAATCCAGCGCACTGGAACATAGTGATCGTAAATAATTTATAATAGCACGTCATATAAACATCCTCATTTACCACAGTACCGAGTACGTCATCCTAACGGAATAGGAATCACCCTTGGTAAATCAAATAAACAAGTAATGAATATACACGCCTATTTTATATTATCTTACAACTTTAGAGAACGCATTAATAACTGAAGGTCTAGATTACAACAACGATCAGTGATTCTCATAATCTTAGCCTTCCACAGTCCTGTTCAATACTTAACATAAGTACTAGTGTAGTTCTCCAGTCAAAGATCAACTGAATCAAGAATACACTACAGTCTTTTTCCAAGAGGGGTCTTACTGCCTGTCTAGACTGTGATCGAAGAGTTTAGTCTTGCAAGGAACCGATAGTTGACCTTTCTATTCGAGTCACCACGAACCACACTATCTCAATGTAAGACAAGGAGTATGATTGCATAAATAAATAAACTTCAAGCATATGTACTTTGACCGAAACATGATTGCCAGACCAAAATGGAATTGTTCATATCTGAAAGTCAAGCTTTTACAGCATATCTAACACCTTCACCTTTGTAGGCGGTTTCATTTCGATCACCGCTTGCACCTTTTCCGGGTGTACTTCAATCCCTCCCTTTGTCATCATATATCCCAGAAATTTCCCCTACTTCACCACAAAGGAACACTTAGAAGGATTCAGCTTCGTACCATATCTCCGCAATGTCAAGAATGTTTCCCTTAAGTCGTTCACATGATCGAGCTCCTCCTTGCTTTTCCCCAACATATCATCAACATAAACCTCCATATTCCTCCTGAGCTGCTCCTTAAAAATCTTATCAGCCAACCTTTGATACGTTGCTCCCGCATTTTTCAAGCCCAACGACATCACCACATAGCAATAGGTCCCGAGCCAAAGGGATCTGATGATATCCTTGGGACGCATCCATCAAATTGAGCAACTCAGATCCTGCAGTGAAAACGACCAACTGGTCAATCCTTGGCAATGGGTATAAATCCTTCTGGCACGCCTTGTTTAAGTCATGGAAATCGATGCACATCCTCCATTTTCCCTCCGACTTTGACACCATTACGGTGATAAATAACCATTCGGGGAACTGGATCTCCTTAATATGACCTACCTTTAGTAATTTCTCAACCTTCTACTCGATCACCTTATCCATCTCCACCCCATGGTGCCTCCTCTTTTGCTTCACCGGCCCTACTGAAAGGTCGATATTCAGCCTATGCTCAATCACCTCTGCCTTAATCCCTGTCAACTCCTCCGTAGTATAAGCAAAGTCATCCGCGAACTCCCTTATCAACCCTATCAACTTCAACCTTATAGGCTCCTCACATTCTTTCTCGATTTTAAACTTCCTTTCGTCAAAACCTTCCACCATTTGAATCTCCTCTATCTCGCCTCCTGGTTGCTTCTCCACCTTTTCCTTTCCTTTATCGGACTTCACCTTTTTCTCCTTCGACCTCGAACCACCAGTTCGACTTAGTGTCACCTCCCCCAACTTCACTTGCCTCTTTGCCAATTCTTTATTGTTATTCACCGTAGTTTGATAACAGCTCCTTGAGGTGAGCTGATCTCCCGCGACCTCACCAATGTTTTCACCCACTGGATATTTGATCGTCATGTGGTACGTTGACACGACCGCCTGGAACGCATTCAAACTGGTTCTCCCCATAATGACGTTGTACGATGACTCCGCTCCTACAACCACAAACCTAACCATTCTCACCTTCCCCGTCACTACTTTCCCCAAAGAGACGGATAGGCTCACTTCTCCCATTGGCATCACCTCTCCTCCATTGAATCCATATAAAGCTGTGGCCACCGGTTTCAGCTCGATATTCAGCTCCCTGTTGATCTGCACAAAACAGACATAAAAACATTACATCGATCGAGCTCCCCGTCTCAATGAACACCCTTTTCACATCAAAGCCTGTCACCTCCGCTATAACGTCCCACTTTGATTTAAGAAATAATCCATGGCTTATTCAAAAATCAAGTCAACATTTTCGAAACTCATTTTTCGAAATCCATATCATTAGGGCATTATCTTGATTTCAATTCATATTTGAAACCTCACAGGAATTCATTACCCGGGTTTTCACCTGGACTCATTGTCCTAAAACATAATAGTTCACATGATATCCAAATAACACATTCATCATGAATATCCAACACATAGTTCAATAATACGAACCAAATCATAAGTTAAAATCCAACATTTTCAAACGACATGATCTGAAAGAAATCAACATGTTCAAAACCCAAACAATTGAAGTTCATAAATTCGGGTTAATTTATTCATATAAAGCGGAAGCAAATAACATAAATATGACCATCCACTCGCCATCCTACCGTCGTGCCCGCCTTGTTAACCTGAAACGTGAATTTCAGGTGGGGATGAGCACAACTGAAAATCGTAGTGCTCACCACTATGCAATAAATCATGTACAATATCAGTTAGGCATGGTTGCAGCATGAACACGAATCAATCAATTATCACATCTCCTAATCATACATCTTTACTCAATGTGCACACCTATCACTAGCCATTGAAGGACATACAGCTCACAACAATGGGAGTAAAATACCGAAGGACATACAGCTCACATCGGCCTTGTCTATCATTAGGCTAGGGAGACTGCCTATCAAGGCACCGTCAAAGGACATACAGCTCACAACGACGGGGACAACCGCTCGAAGAACATACAGCTCACAACGAGGGTTACATGGTTCACATGCATGCATTAATCACGCCACTCAACACATGTAAATAATTTATGGCATAGACAATTTTAAATAAAGCCCACTTGGTCGCGAATAGGAGATAACACGAAAGCACGAATAGGCTGCGAGCTCGGCTCGTCAAACACCTACATTAACTCCAGATGCTATAATCAACATCTATTTTGACTTAATCAGAAATCACAACCATACTTGGCGAACTTGATTCGACTAAGTTGTTCGTGAAGTCTTGTGGACATTGGAACAGTAGACTCGGCCCTAAGACTCAACCAAGCATACACAGGAGTTCACATAATCTCAACCAAAGGTTTTATCAAGTCAAATGAGCAACGAATAGCATGCGAGTAGGTTTACAGTGTATAACACAAAATTACATTTTTCGAAAGCAAAAGGCAATAGTGCACATAAATAAGTTTGGATGGGTTACCGAATGGGTTAAGCCCTGAAATTTTAATCAAACATCCATCTCATTGGGCTTAGGAAAACCACCAAATTTCAGCCCTTACCTCAAAACACCTAATTTTATAAAATTCACACAAGTTTGAAGTAAAAACGAGCACAAATTCAAAACTAGACCTAACGAACGAATTAACCTATGAAAATTTTACACAAGCAGTAACAGCATGAGGACATCAACATATAAAATTTGCAACTATTAACAACAAGTATTCGAATTTTAAAAATTAAAACTAGTTTATTCTGATTTTGAATATTTAACAAGACTGAACTAAAATGAATCTAAATAAATCCCATCTTTTTACATACTAAAAAACAACAGAAAATTAACCTAGTCACCAATTTTCAGTAATTTAGCACAAGATGTCAATTTGTTAACATTAAATTACGAATCTACAAAAATTTATCAAATAATTTTTAACCCTAGCAAACGAAGTCCAAAAATTCTAATAATTTTACACCACCTATAAAACACACAGGAAGACAACATACTCAAATTTAATAGTTTTTGAAGCACAAATTAAAAATAGCTATCCTTAATATTTTAATCCAAAATTTTTACACAAAATATATATTCAGCAGAGGGACTAGCACATAAAATTTTTACGTCAATTCGAGCAGCATAAAATTTATCATGATTTTTATACTAAAATAGCGACAAAACAAGCTCGACAATTTATTTAGGACTTGATTTACGACGAATTTGTCCGAGGCCTTCCCCATAAGACCAAGGACGACATAATTTTCCAATCCACAGCAACTAAATCATGAATTGACGAGGTCTTGTTCGATTTCTCAAAATCAAAGAGCTCGTCAACACACATTAATCATATTCACATATAATGAATACATTCAAATCGTAAGGCTCGTATATGCATTTGAAACACGTTCAACA